CTGACAAAACTTAGTTGAAAGGAAAGTTTTTCTTCAAAAGACTATAATTAGATTAAATTCGGGGAACTAATTGAATATTTCAAAGGATGAAGGGAAAATTAAAATCTTTCTAGATTAGTAATGATCAGGAAATTGCGAGTAAGAAATACAAACAAGTAGCTAGTTTTAAATACAAATTGTTAAAATATGTTTTAGGATTACATATAAGAAAATCTATGACTTTGGTATATCAATTTTGCTTAAAATAGTTCAATTTTAATAGAAGATATTACAAATCTGACGCTTTATTTGCATTCTAGTATGCTGACTAGGCTAGGTTTTAAATTTGCAGAACTGTTCTTCAAAACTGTATAATAAAAACGGAAATAATGTATGATATATATTACTATATAAAGGATATAATACAATATATAATATCTAGACTTAAATATTTTCCGCATTTTAAAATCATATTGAGTAGAAAGTACACCCCACCATATTTGTATTTAATTTTTAGGACAATTCGTCTATTGTTAAGTCAAACCCAAAGAAATTCCTTTATATAAAATTAGTTAATGCATTAAATAACTTGGATTTTCCCCAGTGTATATCGCGTTGCGCTTCCCGTTGGCCCTTTATTTAGTTCTCTCTTTCTCTCACACTTTTCCCCTTTTCCCTGTTTCGCATTTTGTGCGCTTGTTTTATGTGAAATTTTTGGAAGCTTGCACAAAAATTTAGCAACACAAAGTGCCCGCGGTGCCGAAGGAAATACAAAACCCCATGACTTAATTAGAATTTTGTGTTGCTACTAATGTTGCTGACACGGTTGGGCGCAGGATCCTTCAAAATGCTCAATCGTCCTTTGACGTTGCGCTGACACATGAAATGCATTTGTTTCAAGGCTTGCGGGGTATGAATGGTATAGGAAGTTGGCCAAAAATATGGATCTGATTAGACTAATTACCTGTGGAAACTCGGTAGATGTAAAAGTGCTTCAAATATTTGTAATTTAATATGACTAAGCTCCATTGCATTCAATAAATATTTAAGCAAGCATTCAAAAAAATCAATGACGTTAAAAACATATCCCAACTATGTCATCAGGCAATGTGTGTCGGAAAGCTTCCTCGGTTTCCTATTGTTTGAAAACATTTTGTAATCAATTCCGTGTCCACACATGCTGCTGGCTTTGCATTCCCTCTTTTTTCTATATATTTTTCGGAGGAAGGAAGGACAGCCAAACTGAAACTAATTTCGAATCCATTTACATAAACTGACATCTGTGATAGTTGTGCTTGACCAGCCGCCGCCGGCCCTGGAGCAGTTTTTCAAGGCCAACGCCCTTCACATTCAAATATTTGCATGCTGCCTTTTTTTCCCCTCCCCTCCCCCCACTCTTGCATAACAAATGGCCAAAACTGAGCATGTGAGTGCATTGTAAAACATGTGGCATTACAAGCGGCAACATTAAATGCAACATATTCAGCTGTCGCCTTTCTGAGGAGGACGGGGAACGCACGGACTGGGCAGATATAAAACCATGGAAAAGCCATTGCCATTAGACCATTAGACACGCTCATAAAGCTGCCCAGAGATTAGTGGGTTGCATCGTCATTGTCGGCGATTGATTTTCAATCAACGGCGACCTTGATGCGGAGCGATGGGTAAACCTGGGATTGCCACAGGGATTGCCTTGCTGCTTGACTGCCGACAGTCCGGCACTCAAGCCTCATTTGGCGCAGGTCACTTTAATCAGCTGCAAAAGCTTTCAGCCACGTGCACAGGGAGAAAATGGGGTTACTAATGAGGCTAAAATCACATTTATGGTCAGTACAGACAAAGAAAGTGGGTGCATTATTACGAGAAAGTTAGTTACCAAACTACTTAAAAGAGTAAGTCAAAAGAAAGGAAACTGAGAGATTTTCTGTGACTATCTTTAGTCACATACATTCACTTTCCCTTATAATTTCCCACATTTTTCCAAGTGTACCCCATGCGATTGCCCATTTTCAAGGCGGAGTTGAAGCTAAAAGCCATGGCTTTTTGGGGCCCGGGCTCAAGGGCATCAAATTTCAATTGGCAATAGCTGCAATCGAACAAATGTTTGGCCACATTACGAACATTGCAAATTATTTGCCGGGCGGCTGTGGCTGTGGATCCCCCACAAACCCTGGGAAATAAACGCAACGCAAATTGAATTTTCTAAATAACTGCAATGTTTGACGAGTTGCAATCGAGATTTGATGCCAACCAGTTGGCAAATCAAACAAAAATGCAATCAAAGTTGGTAACTAATTGCATTTTCTCCGTTCAAACTATGCAATCAGTTTAAATGCATTTTGCCGCCGAAGAGAGAGAGATCGAAGCGGTTTGCGGCTAAAACATAACATTTAAGCAAGTCATAACGAGACTCTCGCACATCGACGGTGTAACTTGATCTAATGAACTTCCTGTCGTCGATTAACCTTTTCCTGACCGCTGACCCCGAGGGTCAACAGGAGCAGAGCCAGCAGCCAGCATAACCTTTGATTTGGCCAAAGCTCCTCCAGTTTGACTTTCGCTTCGTTTGGCGCGGGCCAAAAGGAAAAACTTTTTCTTTTTTTGGCATACATGGGAAACGTGATGAAACTTAATTGGGCCACGGTTGTTTTTTTTTACTTCTTCTCGAACAAGAAGTAGAATCCAAAATGGATTTTTATGAGCTGTGCAGGGCAACAGAATTTGCTGTTTATTGGCTTTCATTATGGTTGACCTGAAAGCCACAGCAGCTGCAGTTGCAGCAGCCACAAGCCGCATTTAATTAATGGAGGCACAGGCGACTTTTCCAGCTAAATGGGAGCTCACTCCCAAAAGCGCAGGCCATTATGGTTTCAAAGTGTGGGAGAACGGCTAAGGCAAAAGTTTTTCAACATTTTACTGGTCTAAGAATGCACCATTAGGCACTGCCAAAATATTGTTTACATATTTTGTTGTTATGTTATTCAGCTTCCCTTGTTGCAGATACTTTCTGCAATGGACTTGCCCACAAAAAGCCAGTCGTTTCCTTCATTTCAACCAAGTTGAAGTGCGCCAAATTGCTTACAAATTCACTTTATGCCAAAAAACTCACAAAGGTATGCCTGTCCGGCATTGTTGCACCTTCTGTTGCTGCTTCTGCTCCGCCGGCGGGTAATATTTCCAGTTGGAGAGAGCCTCTTAAAAGGGATTTTCTTATTTGATTTACAAATTGCAAATTTCAAATTTAATTAAACGCAAGCGGAATGCATAGACAACTTAATTAGCGATACTCGAATTGGTCATTGAGATGATGCTGAATGCGAGTTTGAATTTCAATTAAATCTCAGCGAATTGTGCACGATTGAGCTGGATTAAAAAGGAAAGGTAAAGAAATTATAAAATAATAAAAGGTGAAATGAGAGGAAACCCAACTCAAGCGCATCTGCGCTCCATCTGACACCTGTCGCAATTCCAGCTATCGGATGCTCTCCCCAAAGGGTCCACTTTGGGACTAAATTCCAACGGCATGAACTCCGACTTTCATGATGTAAGATACCAAAATCTGTTTAACATATCCCAGCAATTATTTCAACCTTTTCGACTTTATTTATGGGCGATTATAAATACTTGTTTTTGCACTCAAAAGAATTCATTTCGAAGACTAATTTGTGAAGGTAATAAAATACTTAAGGCGAGGAATATTTCATTATTGAAAATAATATTTTTTACAGTGTCCCGGCTTGCTTTCCCTGCTAATGCAAATCGAATTTTCCTTAATCCCTTTAATTCCATTGCGTAAGTGGCGTATCCCAGACTTGTCAAATGGCTCGGATTGCAGCCGTAGGAAATCCGAATTTTGGCTTTTAAATCCGGCCATCAAGTAATTGAAAAGTGCACTGTCAAAGCAAGAGCGTATCGGTATCGCCTTAAGGTGGAAATCGCCTTCGGCTTAAGCTGCTGAATTTGCTTTGACTATTCACAAATATATATAGACGTAAACACACGGCCTGGCAGAGTTGGTCGCACTCAAAGCGATAACGTAATGTAACACAATTTGTGCCAATAAATCAAATTGTCTGCTCTGCCAGACCCCTTGAGTGCAGCAAATAGACTCGGAGTCGACAACAAATGAAATCAAAGTTGGGCCCGAGTAGTCAAATGGGAATCAGTGACGCAAAGGCATTTGTATTGATGATGCTGGCCCATTGCAGATAAACTAAATCAACGAAAATTGGCTTACGAGTGTAAGATTTTGAGTTATTGCCTTGCCACGGCGCACGCGGCGTATGCGCAACATATCATTTGTGGCACAAGCAGCAGAAGCAGCAGCAGCATTGCGGCTCCCTTAGCGTAATCCCACTCGCAGGCCAAATCCCATTCAGCCAGCGATTTCCATTAGCATTCAGGTCAATGCAGAAGGCCCAGTGCCATTAGGGGCGTGCCCCATCCGCCCACTGTCACGCCTCCTTGTGCTTGTCATTAATTCGCCAAGTCGGTTAAATATTCAAGCAGCACTTGCAAAAGGTGACTCTTGATTCTTTTGGGCCCGGGTAAAACTTTGTGCCGAGTCAGGGAAAACTACGAAAACGACTTCCTCCTGCATTTCTCCTCCGCCGCCGTTGGAGTCATTTGTGACATCTCTGGGACAGGGAAACGAACATAATTGACAAGCCCCATTGCAAGCCTCATAAAAATGTTCAAAGTTATTTGTCGCTAGCGCGAAATTTCCCACCAGCGAAAACTTTCCGCTCTTCCATCGACAACTAGCGCGGTCCAAGTCATAGTTTCCTTGCAAAACTTTTGCTCCTATGACAGGACCTCCTTCTGACTTCAGAATGAATGATGCACATGTGCGTTCGTTTCAGGAGCCTATGATTTTGATAGCTCAAGTTGGCATCTTGCCTTCATCCTAGCTGCCTACGAAATGAATGTCAGTTTCAGGCAATGCTTTAAGTATAAGAAATCATTGCATCTAGTAGCTTTGCATTTGTAGTCACGAAAAGAAAATTTCTTTGTAATGTCAGTTTCTAGAATATAACATTTTTATTTCTAAATTTGACATCTGGACTTTTTTCGACGGACTACAAGTCGATGATATGAAATTTGAACTCCTCAATGGAGTGGAAATTGGGCAACCACTCCTTTTCTTCTGATGAAAAGCCGGGGCCCTCCTTAAAGAACGGCAATTCCAGGAACCCTTTCTCTTCATCAGACTCAAAATCGTTTTCGTGGCACTCCAAATTGAGGATATCTTTCATTTCCTCGCTTTCTTTGGCAGGAAGTGGTATCGGCAACCGATCAGTATATCCTCCTGACAGGTTGAGAGTCGAAGAACACTTCGTTCCTTTGATCCTGTCCTATTTTCGCAGACAGGCTTATCCTTCCTCCTGGGCCGGAAAAGCTTTCCAAAACTGAGGACGATCGTCCAAGGGAAAATGATTAACTAACCCGTAGCCATCGATTAAGTCCATGTTACATTTAGCTGAAAAAACTTATAAACTGAGTACATTTTGGCCCGACCTTTACTCGGCCTTCAACGATTACCATTTCTTTGCAGTTATCAGTGTCAGTAGCTAGCACAACTTGGTTTCCAAATAATTTTCTTTCCGCCGCACCATAATTTTGAAATTTTTAGTGTATTCATGTCTAAAGCTCCGATAAAAGTGAACTGAATCCGAAAAAAGTAAAGCAAATTGATATGTGGTTAATTAAAAGAAAAGTGACTTATTTAGAAAGGATTACTTTGATCTGTGTTACTGTTCGTAGTTGCCCACGAAATGAATGTCAGTTTCAGGCAGGACTTGAGGTAAAAGAATTTATTGCATCTAGTAGCTTTGGATTTTCAGTCACGAAGAAAAAATTTCATTATTATGTCAGTTTCTAGAACACTATAAATTTTTATTTCTTAATTTCGACACCTGGACTTTTCGACGGACTGCAAGTAGATGAGCCTTCTTAGGCAAAACGGGAAATTCCTCATGGTCAAGCAGCAAATCGGGAACTTCTCTTTCGACTGTAAGTAGAGAAGCCTATTAGTAATGGCAAATCGGAAAATTTGTCATTGTCGGAAGACAAAATGTCTTCAAATAGAGAAATTTCACCACTTCGTTGGACTGCGAATCGGGAAACCTAACCTCTTTGACCTTGGAATAGAAGGACAACTCCTCTTTATCGGACGGCGAATCGGAAGAGACCTTCCCATTGGAATTAAAATTTGAACTCCTCATTGGAATGGAAAGTCGGATGGAAAGCCGGGGACCTCCATAAAGAACGGCAATTCCAGGAACCCTTTCTTTTCATCAGACTCAACATTTTTTTTGTGGGGCTCCAAATTGAGGACTCCTTCCATTTCCTCAGACTCCAAATCGAGGGTCGCTTCCTTCTAGAAAATGAGTCGATTAAAAGACGAAGGCATCAAGGAAGTCTTTTTCAACGTTCTCGTTTGACAGGAAGTCGTGGTACTAGCAACCGTGCAATATATCTTCCTGACAGGATGAAAGTCGAGCAACACTTCGTTCTCTTGATGCTGCTCTATTTTCGCCAACAGGCTTATCCTTCCTCCTGGGTTGGAAAAGCTTCCCAAAACTAAGTACGATCGTCCAAGCGAAAATGACTAACTAAACCGCAGCCGTCGATTAAGTCAATTTTACAGTTAGCAGAAAAAACTTATAAAGTGAGTACATTTTTATATGGCACGATCTTTAATAGGCCTTCAACGAATACCATTTCTTTGCAGTTATCAGTGTCAATATGTAGCACAACTTGGTTTCCAGAATTCATCTTTCGTCGCACTATAATTTTGAAATTTTTAGTATATTTATGTCTATAGCTCCGATAAAAGTGAACTGAAATTGTTATAAATCCGAAAAAGTAAACAAAATTAAGAAAGAAAGGAAAGAATACTTAAAATTTGGCTTGGGGCTTAACACATTCCCCTACAGAATTAAAAGAGACACTCTCTAATTATGGAATTCAGAGTAACTCGAATATCCTTAGACGATAGCAATCCGCCAACAATCTTCACACTGCGTTAGTGGGGGAAATTAACAAAAATTGGGTTAAATACACACACACATGGGCGTCGACAGGCAGAGCGATGGAGCAGCCGTATTGGAGTCAAGGCTAAAAAAAACGTGAACGTTTTGTTAAGTGCTCTCGGATAAGCATCCCGCACCCAGACTCCCTCCCGTGACACAGTTAGGCCGTGGCTCTATCGAAGCATTTGCAACTGTGATAATTACTAAACCACATCGACCCAGTGCCTGCGGCACTCCCATTTCCCAGCTCCGATGTCCAATGGCCAGGTCTGCGCTCCTTCGACCCGATTTCTACCCACTACAGCTCGGCGCACTGCAGATTTCCTCGGTTAATGGATTTTTATGCGGCGACATGGAGGAGGAGAAGGAGGAGGAGAAGGAGGAGGAGAAGGAGGAGGAGAGGTCGACGTGCCGCCATTTAATCTACACTCAATATGATTTTACCGCACAGCAGGAAGAAGGCAGCAAGAGCCGCTAATGCCAACATATTGTATATGTACACTGAGGTCAAAAACTATGTCCTGGATAATAATATATATCAAAAAAATATATGAATATTTGATTGACAAATACTCTATGAGTTTGAAGTTATCTTAGCACAAAGGAAATGTTGATAGAAGCTAAAAAGAGAGTTTCGATCTCAAAGAGATATTTTTACATTCTTCTTTTATGATATCTTAACTTATCTTAAACTTCAGGCAATAGGAAATATGCTTCTGATAAATGAAATTGTGCTAATTGAATCCAATTTTCTTAGGGATAACTAATTAAATAAATCCAGATTTAATACATATTTTTTCACAGTGTTTTGCTCTGTGTGAATGTCCGTATTTATATGCCATAATCAGCATTATATGCCCGTCATGTTATTCTCTCTTATTTTCGCCATGCCATTGTAGTGCTAATGATGATGAAGTTGTCCTTAAATGCCCAGCCAACTCAGCCAGATCCGGACGCTGCGATGGCATTTGGCACTTGGAACTTGGAGTAGGAGTACCTAAGACCAGGAGTAGGACTAGGAGCTAAAGATTTGGGCGAAAGGAGGAGACCCGCTTGCCATGCTGGTCAGTTGGCGCTTGTACACTTGTAATGAAAAGTAATTTGGCGCTATATTCGCTTGATTGTGCGTATTTTGTTTGTGGACTTAATTCGGGGGAGGTCGAAGGCGTTTCCTCTGTAATAATTGCGTACAAAATTAATGAACGTGCTTTTGCGTGGAAAATTTGATTAAAGTGCTCATTAATTCCAATTGTCGGGCAATTTGCCTTGGTCAAAGTTGAGTGTGTTTTTGCCTAGCCGAGGAGTGCTTAGGAGTAGTAGAGGGGGATGATGTCTCTGGATCAAACCATCAAACACTCAAGTATTCATTGAGGCCTGATTTGGCATTCATAGCCAAAGGTTGCGCCATTCAATTGAATAACTTTGGTTCGGGTCCAAAACTTGATTATTATTTCATAACCGCAGGGCAAGAGATGGCCTCAAAAATTGGCAATGCATTATGAAATTCGATTTGCATGTTTCTGATTGCCTGGCAAACGCACAGAGATATGTAGCTGCACACAGCCTTCTCTTCCTTCTACTAATTGAAATTGATAGCAACGAAATGGAATCTGTGACATTTATGTTGATAAATTGTGTTTGTGAAACGGCAGCAAATAAATGTGAATTGCGAGTAGAGAATAGAGAATTTCCCACACAGCACTACTAACAAAATAATGCAGCTCAAGCAAATAGTCAAATGTCAAAAAATGGAGTCAGAAAATGCAAAAGCAAACGGCACGGACATCCTCGTCCACAATTGCCTCGAACAATATTTGGGACTGCCTCTTGTCTCTGCTGAATATATATAGTATATAGTATGTTCAACGAGCAATATCTGGCACAATAAATCCAAAACTAAAACACATACCGAGTCGAAGGCAGCGAGCCATCCAGGTCCATTCAAGCCTTGTCGTTTGTCGTGCAAAAATCAAACATCACACAGCGCCCTGGCCTGAGCAACAGTCGGTTTCGTTTTATGTTTCGGCCTCGAAAAACAACCTGCGGACCCAGGGATCTTGTCTGGGTCGGGTTGAGTGGTTGAGTATTGAGAAGGCCGAGAGGCTCATTATTATGCATGAAGTCATAGACTGTCTAGCACCTGCAGGACAAAGCGCCCACCACACAGATACGCACGCACACGTCGTCACACGGCGAGAAAAGCGAAAAGAAAATGCCTAAGTTATGCACATAAAACTTGATTGATTTGAAATCGTTCGATAAGGTGCCCAAAAGCAGGCTATGATATGATTTATACATGACTCTATGTTGTCTTGATGGTCTTTTGACTCCTAATTTGTGAAAAAGTTTGTATGTGTTGCTTTTGTTATATATTATATAAAGAAATATAAACGATAGGCTTGTTCTTCTAGATGTTTTATCTGTTTTCGAGTTGTTTTATGGTTGTACTTTTTAATCTGGAAGCATTCAAAAATTTCAAACTTATTCATTAAGTTGCCTTAAAAAATCCATTAAATATTTCCCCAAATCTTGGTAATATATCCTATTTTTCCTGTGTATTTTGTCTTCTTGTGGTTGTGGAACGGAAATTTACGCTGACATTAAAACCTCGCCAGCGGCGCTTCACTGTGAAGCAACATCCGTCGTAGTCACCGCCAGTCGTTCACCTCAGAAGTTTAAGTGGGCTGGCAAAGCTTCTGATTTGGATTTGAAGCCAGAATCTGGTGTTAGTGCACTCGAAAAATCTGTTGACCTATAAATGGTAGAGCTTCTCAGTTAGAAGCTAACTAATGGTTTAAAAATGTATCAGGAATTTAATGGTATAAAGACTTATAAGACTATAAAATACTAGTCAAAGAATTTTACATAATTTTTAGTTTCTTACAACATAATATTCGGTATTAATTCATAACAAAATTCATATTAATATCGATACAATTTAAATCTAGAATTACTACCATTTTTCGAGTGTCCTCTTTTCTGGGTCAAACTAGTTGATATTCAATGCAGCATCCGGAACTTGATGGAATTGACTTTTGTGTCTCTGGCCGAGGAGGTGGAGAGGAAGTCGCTGTGAGTCGCGAATGCGTGGCTTTGAATTTGTCCCGGCAGCGTCATTAAATCAAATTGAAACCCTTTTTTGGGGCCGCAAAAAGGGATTTGAGACTTTTGATTGCTTCGGTCTGTGGCGGTTAACAAAACTATTAGGGGCAACACCCCTCCCCGCCACCAACCTGTTCACCTCAGAGAAATGCCAACGAGATGGGAAATCAGTTTTCCTGTGGGCGTGCCAGGTATCAATCTTTGGAGCATGCTCAACATTAATCACACTTAAGAAAAGACGTTCCAGCGTAATGAGGCAAAGGACTCGCCAACAGATTTTCCTATCAGCTATCTGCGGTGGTGCAAATAAATCGGTTTTAATTTAAACTTAAAGGGTTTTAAATAATGTGTTTTTTGGGTTTAAAATATCCAAAAGAGACTATTGACTATTTTATATTTGAAATTCTCCTATATGAACTGGTTTAATAAAAAAAATTTATTTATTTTAAATAAATTTTAAAGCTACGAATAATATTTTGAAATGTTGCTCTTTTTTAACTTTGTTGACCGGCTAAGTGGAATATTGGTTAGCATGGAAATCCAAATTGGCTTTTGTAATTCTGTTCCGGGATTTAGGGGTCCCATTAGTAATTTTTGAAGTTTAAGAAATAATTGCATCTAGTAGCTTAGCATTAGTAGTCATGAAGAAAAAATTTCATTATTATGTTAGTTTCTAGAACAAATTTTTATTTCTTAATTTTGACACCTGGACTTTTTTCGACGGACTGCAAGTCGATGCAGACTTCTCTGGCAAAACTGGGATTCCTAATGGTCAAGCAGCAAAACGGGAACTTTTCCTTTGGCTGTAAATAGAGAAGCCTATTAACTAATGACAAATTGGGAAATTTATCATTGTCGGAAGGCAAGCTCACCTCTTGGACCTTCAAATAAGAACCAACTCCTCTTTATCGGATGGCGAATCGGGAAAGACCTCCTCATTGGAGTGGAAATTGGGCAACCACTCTTTTTCGTCGGATGAAAAGCCGGGGACCTCCTTATAGAACGGCAATTCCAGGAACCCTTTCTCTTCATCAGACTCAAAATCCTTTTCGTGGCACTCCAAATTGAGGATATCTTTCATTTCCTCGCTTTCTTTGGCAGGAAGTGGTATCGGCAACCGATCAGTATATCCTCCTGACAGGTTGAGAGTCGAAGAACACTTCGTTCCTTTGATCCTGTCCTATTTTCGCTGACAGGCTTATCCTTCCTCCTGGACCGGAAAAGCTTCCCAAAACTGAGGACGATCGTCCAAGGGAAAATGATTAACTAACCCGTAGCCATCGATTAAGTCCACGTTACATTTAGCTAAAAAAAACGTATAAACTGAGTACATTTTGTCCCGACCTTTGCTCGGCCTTCAACGATTACCATTTCTTTGCAGTTATCAGTGTCAGTAGCTAGCACAGCTTGGTTTCCAAATAATTTTCTTTCCGTCGCACCATAATTAACAAATTTTTAGTGTATTCATGTCTAAAGCTCCGATGAAAGTTAACTGAATCCGAAAAAAAGTAAACCAAATTGATATGTGGTTAATTGAAAGAAAGGTGACTTATTTAGAAAGGATTACTTTGATCTGCTTTGATTTCACTGTGTTACTGTTCGTAGTTGCCTACGAAATGAATGTCAGTTTCAGGGAGGACTTGAAGTAAAAGAATTTATTGCATCTAGTAGCTTTGGATTTTCAGTCACGAAGAAAAAATTTCATTATTATTATGTCAATTTCTAGAACACTATAAATTTTTATTTCTTAATTTCGACACCTGCACTTTTTTCGACGCACTGCAAGTCGATGAGCCTTCTTAGGCAAAACGGGAAATTCCTCATGGTCAAGCAGCAAATCGGGAACTTCTCTTTCGACTGTAAGTAGAGAAGCCTTTTAGTAATGGCAAATCGGAAAAATTCTCATTGTCGGAAGGCAAAATGTCTTCAAATAGAGAAATTTCACCACTTCGTTGGACTGCGAATCGGGAAACCTAACCTCTTGGACCTTCGAATAGAGGGACAACTCCTCTTTAACGGACGTCGAATCGGAAGAGACCTTCCCATTGGAATTAAAATTTGAACTCCTCATTGGAATGGAAAGTCGGATGGAAAGCCGGGGACCTCCATAAAGAACGGCAATTCCAGGAACCCTTTCTTTTCATCAGACTCAACATCCTTTTTGTGGGGCTCCAAATTAAGGATATGTTCCATTTCCTCAGACTCCAAATCGAGGGTCACTTCCTTCTAGAAAATGAAGAACCCATCATTCCCAGATTGAAAGACGAAGGCATCAAGGAACTCTTTTTCAACGTTCTCGTTTGACAGGAAGTCGTGGTACTTTCAACCGTGCAATATATCTTCCTGACAGGATGAAAGTCGAGCAACACTTCGTTCTCTTGATACTGCTCTATTTTCGCCAACAGGCTTATCCTTCCTCCTGGGTTGGAAAAGCTTCCCAAAACTAAGTATGATCGTCCAAGCGAAAATGACTAACTAAACCGCAGCCGTCGATTAAGTCAATTTTACAGTTAGCAGAAAAAACTTATAAAGTGAGTACATTTTGCTATGGCACGATCTCTACTCGGCCTTCAACGAATACCATTTCTTTGCAGTTATCAATGTCAATATGTAGCACAACTTGGTTTCCAGAATTAATCTTTCGTCGCACTATAATTTTGAAATTTTTAATATATTCATGTCTAAAGCTCCAATAAAAGTGAACTGAAATTGTTATAAATCCGAAAAAGTGAACAAGATTAAGAAAGAAAGGAAAGAATACTTAAAATTTGGCTTGGGGCTTAACACATTCCCCTACAGAATTAAAGCAGACACTCTTCCTCTAATTATAGAATTAAGAGTAACTCGAATATCCATAGACGATAGCAATCTGCCAACAATCTTCACACTGTGTTAGTGGGGGAAATTAACAAAAATTGAGTTAAATTCACATACACATGGGCGTCGACAGGTCATGGCTAAAATAAACGTGAACGTTTCCATTTAAATATATTGTTTTTCAATGTTTATGCAAAAATGTGGGCATCATAAAGGTGCTTAGTAAAAGAGGGGGGGCTATTCCATTGGATTTTTTCTTTCCACAAACATTTCCCAATCAAACTTTTTAGCGAAGCCCTTGATTAAAGTGGAAACGTTTATACTTTGTGGCCCGCAGTTTCCCCCTTTTTGGCCACATCCCTGCCCTCGCTCACATAGTTTCATATTTGCACAATAATTTTGTGGCCGGGCAAATATTTGTTCGCACATCCGGTTTCATATGTGTGGATTAGTGTCCATGTGTGCACTACCAGGAGGTGTGTTCAGGGGTTGTGGTGGGGTCTAGGTAAATGTGTTTAGAACACCTCTGTTACTCCATTAGCATATTATGGCATATTCACGCACGAGTTTCCCCTAATCGAAAGCACAAAACATTCGGTTCCCTTAATCGAGTTGATTAGCGCAAATGTTCCGGCAGCCAGTCAGTTTATTTTAAATGGTATATAACTTTATAACTCGCTTTTTGGGGGGTGAATTTAGTCATTTGCATTCGGTGGGGTTTTGTGAAATTGAAGGATTTGATGGGGGATTTAAGACGGAAGACTTTTAGGGAAGTAATGTTTCATAAACTTAAGAGATTATTTTAAACATTCTGAGTTATATTTTATCTTTGAAAACCTTGTATAATTAAATGAATACAATTTGTACAATATCCCTTAAGGTTTCTTATATATATGTAAATATTTATAAGCTTATTGTAAATTTCATTATACATATATTTAATTTATATATTTATATTCATTTTAAACATTGAATCTCAAAAGGGGAAGGCTTCAATGGGATCAAAGACCTTTTAACACTCTTTTATAAATTTAAAAATATTATTTCTTAGTTTAAAGATATAAATTTATTTAACGTGTGCCATTTCTATATAGTTTTCTTTAGTTTTCTTTTAAAAAGAAGATTTTTAAATCCAGCTTTTACAATTCGATTCACTTTAGTTATTTCATTTAAACTAAGAAAGCCTTTAAATTTATTTTCCATCACCTTTCTCCAGAAATATAAGTTTCCTAGGTAAATTTTACACTCAGCTAACAAAATATTTATACAGTCTACAAAACCGATAAGTTAAAAAAAGAAAATAAAAAAGAATTAAAAAAGGAAAAAAGGAAAAATCGCTTACCACACTATATTGGGCTGCGGATGTTGCTGTGCAAACAATATTAAAATCCAGGCGACACCTAGACACTTTCCGCAGTAACAGCAGCAGGAGCAGCAACAGGAAGCAACCGAAATCCTCCGCCAGATGATGTCCTGGCCCCATCGAGTCCAACCTGGACATGAAAAAGGGGGAGGATACAAAAAAAAAGTACCATTGAATGCATAACAAACTGTGTGGGTAAAGTTTCGGCAGAAATTATTTTAGGTGAGCAACGGACACTGGCAGCCTCAACTTCAAAGTTGCCGGCAAAGGGAATAACTTGCATATATTTGATTGTTTACGCTATAGACAGAATTTTAAAAACCAACAAAATAAACTGAAATAAATTTAATAAATTCGCTTAGGGACTTAAAACTTGGAATTGGAAAATGGCCATCGATGGAAGCAAGTTTTTTTGATTGCGTTTTGATTAGAAGCCATAAGCCCCTGTGACAGGAGGGCGTCGAAAGGATTTACATAAAATATATATAGTGCCACTGGCGCTGCTGGCAACGCTAAGTACTCTAATTGAATCGAGCTGAAGCGCCATAATCTGGCCCGGAAAATCCCCTCCGAACGGACGCCTTATAAATTCCTAATGCCCCCCAGAAAGAAAAAAACATCTTGAGTTTGTTATCGGTTTAGTGGCCTTTGTTGGCCATAAGAACCAAGAGTTTAGGCGATTCCAGCCACACCTACAAAACTGGAGGGAAAAACAAAATCAGAGACATCACAGAGGAAGAAAGAAAATAGTTTCAGTTGGTTATAATGCACAGAGAAAATATTTCCTACTTTTAAATATATTTTTAAATTTTTTTCTATAACTTAAACTGGTTGCAAACAACTTTAAAAAGAAATATTTAAATGACTTAGGAAAAGATTTATTCTCTGAGAATATTTTTCGTGTTAATATTAAAGTAGATACAATTTTTTGCAGCATTTTCAATGCAGCATGCAAGACCAAGAGGGAGTTAAAGCACCAAGACCGCAGCATCCGAATTCAAGTCGCATTTAGTGTCGTTCTTATTCCTATTTATGTTATTGTGAAATGCAAAGCGATTGTCCGAGATTTGAACTAAAAAGAAACTCGCTGAAGGAGCTAGCTTTCGCCCTACAAGGACGAGCAGGACTCTGGCTCCCTCCGGCTAGATAAGCCAGTGAGACAGGCAGCCTGATATGTTCGAGTCATTAAGCGTCTTTTTGCTTCGGCTGCTCCAGTGCTCAGTGCTCATTAAAGCTAAGCCCAAAGCTAAACAACAAAACAAAGCCTTACCGAGCTGAGCCTCACTGTTTCTTGTATACATATTAATCATACGCACTGTTGCCAGGCGACCATGAGGTGGGGGTTGTAGAAAGTTTTCAGTTGTTTTTCAGCCGCTTTCGGCTCAATCAAGGGGCCGGCAACCCTTTCAGGCGCAATTATCAAAAACTTTTTGCCCGAAATAAACTTTTCAGAGTGCCTCAGAGGGGGGAAAGGGTAAGGGTGTTGGAAAATAACCACCACCCCTTTTGTTAAGAGTGAAAACAAAGCGCATTTTAATGCGAAAGACTTACAGTAAGTTTGCAGGCCGATTAAGCGATTAATAAGCTTGTCAATTTGCAATTGTTGCCAGCAGTTGGCGTCGAAATTATGAACTGGCCAATGCCGTCAGAGTTGTTTTCGCTTTTCTCACTTTATTGAAAGCCGCTCAAAGACATTTGGCAATTAGGCGCCAGAAACTTTTTGGCCACGACTGGAAAGAGGAGGAGTAGGAGGAAATAAGCCAGCCTCCTTTTGGCCTGCACTGTCCGACAGTTAACACCTGCAGTCCGTCCCTCAATGAGTTCCGTCCCTTCGTCCGTGGAGCAGGCAGGCACAGATTGGCCAACTCCGGTTGCTAGTCAGCCAAGTGAGCAGCCAACTCTCGAGGGCCTCTTCAGGCACACACACTCACAAACGCTGGCAGGACACAGCGTCCTTTCCGGCCACAAGTATTTGCCCATGTATCTGTGAGCAGGCATTAGACAAGGCCGTAATAGTTCGAGCCAGGGTATTTTGCGTGTTGAACTCGTAACAACTTCTTCTTCTGCTTACCTGGCTAACACATTTTTTTATGGTCGCCAGGAGAGCAATTACCAAAGATTCCGCTTTCCTTGCAATAAAAATTTAAGATGCTAACCAGGCCGACTGGCAGGCCGGAACTCAGACAGAAACAACAGAAAAATTGTTGGCTAAATGCAAATATTACACCTGGGCGTACCATTTCTTTTTCCGGTTTTCCGATTTTCCGGCAGCAAAACACTTTATTTCTTCTTAGAACAGTTCTTGGGTTCTTAAAGAGTAGCTTTAAGCAGCTCTTGTTGGTCACTTTGCGGGTTAACAATGTGGAGAAAAGTGTCCTGCTCTTGAAATCGGGACAATTGCACTGAGAGGAAATTATGCTATATTATATATTTCCCCTGAAATAAAGACAAATATCATAGGAAGTTAAAGACTCTCCTACAGAAGATTGAAAGTTTCTTTATACAATATATTTTCCTTAAATTTTTGCATATTCTTATCCTTAGCAATTCAAATCGGTTTTTCCACTGAACAAAAGGGTTTCTCTAATATTTTATCCGAGTGCAGCTCGATCCTGATAAACGATTGTGTGTCTTTGGAGCTTTGTATTTGCATTCGCCGGCCGATGTGTGCACTGTGAGTGGCTTTTACGAGACCGGCTGCCAATGTTAAGCCAACATGCAAGCCGGCTCGGGTCCGTGGCCTTTGCCAATGGCCAATGCCTGATGAGAGTGAGGGGAAAATCTACATTTTTCCCAGCCGCAACAGGGCGCACTTAACCCGCACTCACACTCACACTTAGACGCCAAGGGGAAAATGCCAGGCACACGTAGACGTAGAATAAAGTAACTTTTTTATTGCGTCTTCATCTACATGCATACTATATGTGCGAGTATAAAAGCTACCGCAGAAAACTTTTTCCCAGAATTGTTATTCAAAGTGGCAGCCCAACCACAAAATCCGAAAAGTAAAAGGCATATCAGGTGAGCGGAGTGGTAGGAAAAAGGCGCACTGAATGGGAAATGGGAAAAGCAACGCGGCAAATTGAAATACAAATAATGAGCTGGCAAAACAAAAATCATGCCGAAGTCCATCATCAAATCGATGGAGAGGAAATGTAAGCTGCCAGTATAGAAATATGAAATATTGGCCCAAGGCAAAAGTCCTTTTTTTCTCGTTTAGGCCAAATGGAGGGGGAGGTTTATTGACTGCCCTCGGTGATCCATCAAATTTTTCGGGCTTTCCCCAACTTGATTTCCATTCAAGGAGCTGCCGCAAGTTTTCCATTGATGCGCATTTCTTTTGCTTTTCCTTTGGAATCCAAAACATGCCATGACTGGGCCATATGCTGCTTTTGCTGCTATGCGAATTCCTTTTTCGGGCCAAAAACTGACGCCATAAAATTGGCACATAAAAATGGGCAAAGCCAAAAGGGCCGAAACAGCAGCAGCAGCAGCTTCCGATTTTCGGTTTTCCG